ACACCGGAATGAGGGGTCCCGGTGGCGGAGGGGGGGTCTGAGGGGTCCCGAGGAGGGGGGGTAGCAGGGAAAGGGGGTGCCCCGCCGTTAGAGGAGCCCCCCCTTCCCCGCCGTGGCCGTGGGGAGGCTGGGGGGGGTCACCGGGAGCCCCCCCGGGGGTAACGGGGCCCCTCCGTTCCCGCAGGAGTCGGGGGATGACGAGTACCGGGGGGACCAGTCGGACAGCGACGACGAGGTGGACTCGGATTTCGACATCGACGAAGGCGAGGAACCGGCCAGCGACCAGGACGAGAGCGAGCCCAAGCGCCGCCGCCGCGTCGTCACCAAGGCTTACCGGGTACGGGGGCCCTCTCCCGGGAACGGGGACCCCTCTCGGCACTGGGGTCACTCTCCCGGGAACGGGAACGGGGTCCCCTTCCCAGCACCGAGGTCCCCCTCCCGGCACCAGGGTTGAGGTCTCCCTCCCAGGAATGGGGTCCCCTTCCCAGCACCGGTGACGGGGTCCCCTTCCCAGCACTGGGAATGGGGTCCCCTTCCTGGGAATGGGGTCCCCCTCCCGGCACCGGGAACAGGGATCCCTCCTGGGAACAGGGTCCCCCTCCCGGCACCGGGGTCCCCTTCCCAGAAACGGGGTCCCCCTTCCAGCACCAGGGAATGGGGTCCCCCTTCCCGGCACCGGGGTCCCACTCCCAGCACTTGGAACAGGGATCCCTCCTGGGAACAGGGTTCCACTCCCAGTACCGGTGACGGGGTCCCCCTCCCGGCACTGGGGTCCCCTTCCCAGCACTGGGAATGGGGTACCCCTCCCAGGAATGGGGTCCCCTTCCCACAAACAGGGTCCCCCTTCCAGCACCGAGAGTGGGGTCCCCTTCCCAGCACCAGGAATGGAGTCCCTTTCCCATAAACGGGGTCCCCTTCCCAGCACCAGGAACAGAGTCCCCCTCCCAGGAATGGGGTCCCCTTCCCAGCATCGGGAACAGGGATCCCTCCTGAGAACGGGGTCCCCCTCCCGGCACTGGGGTCCCCTTTCCACAAACGGGGTCCCCTTCCCACCACCAGGAACAGGGTCCCCCTCCCGGCACCGGGAACAGGGTCCCCATCAGGAAAAGCCGAGGTTTAAAGGGACCAAAGCCGTGGCCGGGGTGTGGGGGGGGACATTCCCTCCCCTCTCTCACACCCCCCCTGCCCTGTCCCGTAGGAGCCCCTCAAGAGCCTGCGCCCCAAGAAGACGGACGTTCCCACCGGGGGCTCCCAGAAACCACGGGAGGTGAAATCCATCCCCTTGGAGCTGCAGGATGACGTGGGAGACAGTGAGTGTGGCCGGGACAGGGGGGACACCCCAGGGGTTCCCTCACAGAGTCCCCCTCCCAGGAATGGGGTCCCCTTCCCAGCATCGGGAACAGGGATCCCTCCTGAGAACGGGGTCCCCCTCCCGGCACTGGGGTCCCCTTTCCACAAACGGGGTCCCCTTCCCACCACCAGGAATGGGGTCCCCCTCCCGGGAATGGGATCCCCATCAAGAAAAGCCGATGTTTAAAGGGGGCCGAAGCCGTGGCCGGGCTGGGGGGGGCACATTTCCTTCCCTCTCACACCCCCCTGCCCCATCCCGTAGGAGCCCCTCAAGAGCCTGCGCCCCAAGAAGACGGACGTTCCCACCGGGGGCTCCCAGAAACCACGGGAGGTGAAATCCATCCCCTTGGAGCTGCAGGATGACGTGGGAGACAGTGAGTGTGGCCGGGACAGGGGGGACACCCCAGGGGTTCCCTCCGGGGGTGGGGGGGCTCCCGGGGGGGACACCCCAGGGGTCCCCTCCGGGGGTGGGGGAGGTCCCGGTGAGCCCAGTGCCCGCCGGTGAGCCCCGTTCCTCCCGCCGCAGGCCGGAAGCACATGCGTCAGTCGACGACGGAGCACACACGGCAAACCTTCCTGCGCATCCAGGAACGGCAGGTCCAGTCCAAGAGGAAAAAAGGTGGCCCCAACTACGACCGGCCCCTGACGCAGGAGGAGCTGCTGGAGGAGGCCAAGATCACCGAGGAGATCAACCTCCGCTCCCTGGGTGAGCAGGGTCCCCCAAAAAAGGGTGCTGGGATTTGGGGTGAGGGTGTCGGGGAGGTGCTGAGTCCCCCCCCTGGGTCTGTCCTTGGTTTTTCAGAAAACTACGAGCGCCTGGAAGCCGACAAGAAGAAGCAGGTGCAGAAGAAGCGGAAGTGCGTGGGGCCCGTGATCCGGTACTGGTCTGTCACCATGCCCCTCGTCCCCGAGCCGGGCAAGGAGGAGAACGTGGACGTGGAAGGGTAGGTTGGGGTCACCTCCATGGGTGGGATCACCCCCATGAGTGGGGTCACCCCCATGTGGGTTTTTTCCCCCCCACCACAGACCCATCCATCCCCCTCTGTCCCTGTCCCCCAGCCCTGATCCCTCCCGGGGCTCTGTTCCGCCGTGGTGAGGGAGAACTCACAGGTAGTAGGTTGGGGTCACCTCCATGGGTGGGATCACCCCCATGAGTGGGGTCACCCCCATGTGGGTTTTTTCCCCCCCACCACAGACCCATCCATCCCCCTCTGTCCCTGTCCCCCAGCCCTGATCCCTCCCGGGGCTCTGTTCCACCGTGGTGAGGGAGAACTCACAGGTCATTAGTGACAGAACGAGAGGGAATGGCTTCAAGCTCCAACAGGGGAGGTTTAGACTGAACATTAGGAAGGAATTTTTCACCCAAAGAGTGGTCGGGCGTTGGAACAGGCTGCCCAGGGAGGGGGTGGAGTCCCCATCCCTGGCTGTGTTTAAGGGCCGTTTAGATGCAGTGCTGAGGGACATGGTGTAGGGGAGGACTTTGTAGAGTAGGGGAGATGGTTGGACTCGATGATCCCAAGGGTCTCTTCCAACCTCAATGATTCTATGATTCTATTCTATGATAAGTGGGGTTCAGGCAGCCCCTTGGGGTTCAGGCAGCCCCTTGGAGCCACCCCCCCAAGCCCCACACTCCTCCTTGAGCAGATTTGGGGTCTCCTGGGTGCTGATTGTGGTTCTCCCAGGTTGGACCAAGACCCTCAGCAGGCTGAAGCAGCTCCAGCAGCCCCAGCTCCTCCGGCTTCCGCCGGGAAATGCTCCCGCACCTTCATCTCCTTCAGCGACGACGAAACCTTTGAGCGTTTTTTCCCCAAAGCCAAGGCTCCGCGGCTGCCGGTGCGGGAGATCTGCCCCGTCACCCACAAACCCGCCGTCTACCGCGACCCCATCACCGACATCCCCTACTCCAACATCCGAGCCTTCAAAATCATCCGGGAGGCCTACAAGAAATACATCACGGCCCACGGGCTGCCCAGCGCCGCCGCCGCCTCCGCCGCCCTGGGGGCCCCCGTTCCCCCCGGCCCCGACCCCAACGTCCGTCCCACCCGCCAGAAGATCATCATCAAGCAGAGCGTCCCCCCGACCTGAGCCTTCCCCTTTTTTGGGGGGGGGTCCCCAGGGCGGGGCTGAGGGTCGAGGCTTCTCCTCGCCCCAACTCCCGCGGGTAACGGTTCGTTGCTCTATTTATCTCCTTCCTACCCTTTTTTTTTTATATAAAAAGAGAAATAAATCCGAGCAGTCTGCGCAAAATGGGAGTGGGGGCTCTTATTTCCATCCAACACGTGGTGTCTGGGACACGGGGAGACCCTACAGTAAACAAGGAGGACCCTACAGTAAACACGGGGGGTGTTTTCCTTGTGGTCTGAGAGACCCTACAATAAACAAACAGCTTTTTCTGAGTGTTGTTGTGGAAATGCACCCCCCCCAGTACAATTTTTGGGGCTGAGGGGGGGCACAATCAGGAGCAGAATCACCCAGATTTGGGGTAAAGGGGCATAAA